CCATAGTTGCATCACGAATGCTGCATTATCATTATTTGATGGAAGTTTTCTTTAGCATATTCCCTTTCCCTTTTCGATTTCGGCAAATAGAAGGCTGGGGCAGAAGGACAAGAGAAGGAGAGTAGGGGCTGAATTTTTCCTTCGAATTCTCCATTTATCTATGATGAGATACAAAGTTTAGTTAAATGTTTGTTAAGTAAGCTCAGTACGCTTATTTTTTACTTTGGTTTATTTGGATTAGTTCCTATTTCATCGTTTTTACATTTCTTCATGCCACTGAAGCAGCAGGCAACATCTCCATTCTTCGCTATTTTGAGTATCTCTCCTCCAACTAATTCCACAGAAGTCCGTTCAAGTGGATTTTTTTTTCACTTCACTGGCAGTGTTCTCTATGTTCTTTTGAAATTGCGCGGATGCCGTTCTGTCCGTCTATTGTCTCCCATTCTTGCCACATAACAGTACAACTCTTTACAATGCTATAAATACTTTGGGGCTTAATTGTCGCCTTGCTTCATGCCTGTGCCAATTCTTTTTTTATGACTTTCTAAAGTTGCTGATTGCTGCTTATGTAACCGGCGATGAAAAAGAGTTTTCAGCAGCTCGAAATAAAAAAGGTAAGCTGGATTTGAAAGGCAAAATTTTATGCCGTAACGCTGATAAAAAGACGCAATGAATTTTCAGTTTGCTGGGATCTAAGCACACCATCGATATTTTAATGGTAATAATTGGATTTTGGGTAAAAATCATGATTTTAGAGAGACAAACAGTATTGAAACGTTTGCGCCAGCACTGGTCGATACGCTGGGAAGTTGTCTGAACCATGAAATGATCGGTATTGGACCTGTCGGTGCAATCATCGATACGCCACACTGCAAGATCGCCTGTGAACTACTCAACAGCCTTTTCCTTGTATGTTTTGTTAAAATTCTACGAGAATGCTTTTTGATCCAGATTCTTCCTGAAATTATTTCGGCCGAATGATAAGACAAATATTTGGAAAGTACCATACTTTATCATCCCACTTATCACAAAAAAATATGAAATCTCAGTCCATAGCTCATGCCGGATTATATTTGAGACCAAGCTGCAGGATACAAATTGTCTGAAAGCTGATTTTAATTTGATATTTCATACAAATTTGTGAACTCCCCTTAAAATTATAGCTTCTTAGTTTTTGTAGTTTGGAGGGTGCAGGGGAG